GACTGCTGTGAATCATTGACTAGTAGCAAATGTCACCTAGTCATTGACTAGTAGCAGACTGCTGTGACCCATTAGCTAGTAGCAGATTGCTGTGACCCATTGGCTAGTAGCAAATTACTGTGACCCATTGACTAGTAGCAGTTTGCTGTGACTCATTGACTAGTAGCAGATTGCTGTGAGTCATTGACTAGTAGCAGGTTACTGTGTGTCATTGACTAATAGCAGATTGCATATAGTCATTGACTAGTAGCAGATTGCTGAGTCATTGACAAGTAGCAGATTGCATCTAGTCATTGACTAGTAGCAGATTGCTATGACCCATTGACTAGTAGCAGACTGCTGTGAATCATTGACTAGTAGCAAATGTCACCTAGTCATTGACTAGTAGCAGACTGCTGTGACCCATTAGCTAGTAGCAGATTGCTGTGACCCATTGGCTAGTAGCAAATTACTGTGACCCATTGACTAGTAGCAGTTTGCTGTGACTCATTGACTAGTAGCAGATTGCTGTGAGTCATTAACTAGTAGCAGGATACTGTGTGTCATTGACTAATAGCAGATTGCATATAGTCATTGACTAGTAGCAGATTGCTGTGAGTCATTGGCTAGTAGCAGATTGCTGTGACCCATTAGCTAGTAGCAGATTACTGTGACCCATTGACTAGTATCAGATTGCTGTGAGTCATTGACTAGTAGCAGACTGCTGTGACCCATTGGCTAGTAGCAGATTGCTGTGACCCATTGGCTAGTAGCAGATTACTGTGACCCTTTGACTAGTAGCAGATTGCTGTGAGTCATTGACTAGTAGCAGATTGCTGTGAGTCATTAACTAGTAGCAGGTTACTGTGTGTTATTGACTAATAGCAGATTGCATATAGTCATTGACTAGTAGCAGATTGCTGAGTCATTACAAGTAGCAGATTGCATCTAGTCATTGACTAGTAGCAGATTGCTATGACCCATTGACTAGTAGCAGATTGCTGTGAATCATTGACTAGTAGCAGATATCACCTAGTCATTGACTAGTAGCAGATTGCTGTGACCCATTGGCTAGTAGCAGATTGATGTGACCCGTTGACTAGTAGCAGATTGCTGTGAGTCATTGACTAGTAGCAGATTACTCTGACCCATTGACTAGTAGCAGATTGCTGTGAGTCATTGACTAGTAGCAGGTTACTGTGTGTCATTGACAAATAGCAGATTGCATATAGTCATTGACTAGTAGCAGATTGCTGAGTCATTGACAAGTAGCAGATTGCATCTGGTCATTGACTAGTAGCAGATTGCTATGACCCATTGACTAGTAGCAGATTGCTGTGAATCATTGACTAGTAGCAGATTACTGTGACCCATTGACTAGTAGCAGATTGCTGTGAGTCATTGACTAGTAGCAGATTGCTGTGAGTCATTGACTAGTAGCAGGTTACTGTGTGTCATTGACTAATAGCAGATTGCATATAGTCATTGACTAGTAGCAGATTGCTATGACCCATTGACTAGTAGCAGATTGCTGTGAATCATTGACTAGTAGCAGATATCACCTAGTCATTGACTAGTAGCAGATTGCTGTGACCCATTGGCTAGTAGCAGATTGTTGTGACCCATTCACTAGTAGCAGATTGCTGTGAGTCATTGACTAGTAGCAGATTACTGTGACCCATTGACTAGTAGCAGATTGCTGTGAGTCATTGACTAGTAGCAGGTTACTGTGTGTCATTGACTAATAGCAGATTGCATATAGTCATTGACTAGTAGCAGATTGCTGAGTCATTGACAAGTAGCAGATTGCATCTAGTCATTGACTAGTAGCAGAATGCTATGACCCATTGACTAGTAGCAGATTGCTGTGAATCATTGACTAGTAGCAGATGTCACCTAGTCATTGACTAGTAGCAGATTGCTGTGACCCATTGGCTAGTAGCAGATTGCTGTGACCCATTGACTAGTAGCAAATTACTGTGACCCATTGACTAGTAGCAGATTGCTGTGAGTCATTGACTAGTAGCAGGTTACTGTGTGTCATTGACTAATAGCAGATTGCATAAAGTCATTGACTAGTAGCAGATTGCTGAGTCATTGACAAGTAGCAGATTGCATCTAGCCATTGACTAGTAGCAGATTGCTGTGAATCATTGACTAGTAGCAGATGTCACCTAGTCATTGACTAGTAGCAGACTGCTGTGACCCATTGGCTAGTAGGAGATTGCTGACCCATTGACTAGTAGCAGATTACTGTGACCCATTGACTAGTAGCAGATTGCTGTGAGTCATTGACTAGTAGCAGATTGCTTCTAGTTGAATAGCAGATTGCATTCCCTGAACCCCAGTCGGCCTCAGCAGATGGCCGCTCACACTGAGCCTGGTTCTGCTGGAGGTTTATTTCTGTTAAAACTGAGTTTTTCCTCTCCACTGTCGCTACAAGCATGCTTAGTGTGAGGGATTGCTGAAGAGTCAATGAGTCGATGCAATCAACTGGTTTTCCGTAGATAGGAAACTTGGAACCAATCTGAATGTATGATCTGGTTGATTTGTTAACTACCTTGAGATGACATGTTGTGAATTGGCGCTATAGAAATAAACTGAATTGAATCTAGTCATTGACTAGTAGCATATTGCTATGACTCATTGACTAGTAGCAGATTACATCTAGTTATTGATAGTAGCAGATTTCATCTAGCAATGCTTTGTTCTGGATTCCTCCTTTAAGAATGGGTGATAGTTTCTGGGCCTCTATCCAATCATTAAGTAGTGGTGCACTATTCAATGTCTGTGAAGCTGAACTTCTTGGCCCGCTGTCTCAGTCAGCCGACGTTATGGTAGATAAGGATTTTATTACTGTTGGTTGTGTGCAAAAGCCTTAAAAAATGTGTGTAATTGTTCCAAGCATGATAAATGTAAGAGATTTTGAATAAGGGCACTAAGTGTTGCTATTTAAAATACGTAAGCCTACATCATGTTGTCAGACCTACTTATTGAATCACCCTCTAATTCGGGGTGAAGTGTTTAGTAAACAAAACATCTAAACATCTAGTTGAATAAAGTCATTGTAGCAGGATGATTTGTACTTTTTTCCTTAATTGATAAAATTATAATTTTGTTTTTCTACTTCTGATATTAAATGTTTTTAATGATCTTAAAGTGTGATAAAAGGAAAGCAATCCAATTAAGCTGCGTTATAGAAATTAGATAGCAGTCTAAGTACTAACAGCGGGTGGTGTAAATACAGAATACTGAATGTAGTGAAACTACTAATAAGACGTTTGGCCCAAGATAAGAGATTAGATTAGATGATTAGATTAGATGAGCTTTATTGATCTCACAGCGGAGAAATTCACTGGTCACATATTGGCATAGTAATTAAAGAAGAAGGTGCAAACAAGGAGGAAAAAAGGTGCATTAAGAATAAACAATATATTTACAGTATATCAAGGTATATACAGTATATCAAGATAAATAAGGATTAAGGTGCAAGTGTACATGTATCACACACAATGCAAAACAAAATAAAAATAAGAAATAAAAAATAAAAAATACAAGGCAGTAGCACAGAGATTTGAGGTGTCATATGTACAATCCGGATGGCTTATATACAGGTGGATTTACTTTTACATTAAAGTGTAGTAGGTGAGGAGCCACGGAGAGGTAGTGGTATGACTATTCTATTCACATATATTGCACATTCAGCATATTGCACAGAATATTGCACAGTCAATAAATAAAAAACTATAATAATATAGCTGCACAGTGGTTTTTACAGGAGTTATTGTGGTTATAGTGCATTATTATAGAGTCTGGTGGCAGCAGGAATGAATGACCTGTGGTAGCACTCCTTCTTACAGACAGGGTGTCTAAGTCTCTGACTAAAGGAGCAGCTCAGCTCCTCTACAGTCTGGCACAGGGGGTGAGAGGTGGTGTCCATGATGGATGTGAGTTTGGACGGCATCCTCCTCTCAGCCACTTCCTCCACCGAATCCAGAGGGCAGCCCAGGACAGAAGAGGCCTTCCTCACCAGCTTATTCAGTCTCTTTCTGTCCCGCTCTGAGCTGCCAGGGGCCCAGCAGATGACAGCGTAGAGGAGGGCTGAGGCCACCACAGAGTCATAAAAGGAAGGTCTATATAGTTTTGTTTTTTGCACCAAAACGAAATATATCATATGTTTTTACAGCACATCCCACTTAAATACCAAACAAAGTAAAAAAAAACAGCACCTCATAAAGCCGCACAATGAAAATTTGTTGCAGAACCTGGAGTCTTTCAGGGAATTAGTTGAAAAAATATATACTTTTTTTTCTCTTTGCCAGATATTTAATGGTTTAATTTTCAGGTTTATATATATATATATATATATATATATATATATATATATATATATATATATATATATATATATATATATATATATATATATATATATATATATATATATATATATATACATACATACACATTTTTTATTATTATTTTTATTGTAATAAAGCCCATTATAACAATGTTTATCATGAATGGTTCCTTTTTCCCTCATTCTGATGGTAGAAACTTGTTAGGCCTGCATTATTTTTTTCATTTCTGATCATATTTGATATCACTTTTATTTAATATACATTCCTGATCATATTTTATATTCCTCTGAAATCTCTGGCCATGATTTCTGTGGCCTCTGATGATAAAAAAAATCCAAAGCCAATCTAGAATCTAAAAAGCTACTTTTTTTTTTTAAACATTTTAAATAAATCACTGAAGACTCAGAAAATGGTTGTCTTCACTTTCCTTGATATTCCCCGTTTATATAATTTTATTAAATAAACAATGTTTGGTAAATTAGGTATTTGATTGTTCTTACAAAAAATATTATATTTCTGTAGAAAAATATACATAATTGCGTCTTCCGGCTTTTCGTAAACATGACGAAACATAAGGGTAGAGCGACCAATCACAAGCTGACATTTATTTCCGTGTTTTGGGACTTGTCAGGCGATGATTGGTCGCGGACAGAGGTAGAGAAGCTGATTGGTCGGTGACGGAGTCGGTAAAGCTGAGGATGTATGCCGGTTCTGAGACCGGAGCCGCTAACATGGAGAGGCTGTGTTTGTTCGGCGGGTTGTTTCGCGGGCTGCTGCTCCATCTGCTCCCGCTGTTCCTGCTGCTGCTGTCCGGCTGTCAGGGCAAAGAGTCGGAGCTGAACTATGTGACCTGCGGCTCGCTGGTCAAGCTGCTCAACACGCGACACAACGTCCGCCTCCATTCACACGATGTCAAATACGGATCAGGTAACGGCGCGACTCAATTAAAATTACCACCGATTAATAAAAGAGCTGGTTGGTCTCATTTAACCGGTTAAATGCAGCTGTTTGGGTGAAAAGCTTCAGTATTGTCCGTGATGGTGGCTCCAGAACTCCGATAGATAACAGCTGAGCTGCATCCTGACATCCTTTAAGGCCCGCAGAGATTCACTAAATTGATTTATTATAGTATGAAGCTGTAGATGGCAAATAAATGCTAAATTACTCAATTTATTGTTCGCTTATTGTTTCTTTATTGACATACAATTTTCTGTAAAGGTTTTTGCTCCCTCCATCATTATGAAGGTGTATTTCCTCCTGGTTGGTTTTGCTTCCAGGCATCTTCTGTTGTTTTTAGCTAGGCTTTTTCTTTTGATTTATTATTATTTTTATTTTTTGTAATATTATCATCATTACCCTAGGAATCGGCACGTTGTTTTAGTGCTTTTATTTTGAAAGGCAGATGAGCAATGGTACATCCTGTCGGCCAGGTCTGTGTGCAGCTGTGGTAACCAAGATATCCATAATAAAGGCTAGATGTCTCGTCCGCGCTGCTGGCCAATGGGGGTCGACGTCCGCACGTGGCGGCCATCTTGCCACAGGCAGCTCGCTCATTCGTAACATTGTGTTTTAAAGGCGCATGTACTTAAATAACCATAACTTCCTCAATTGTCTAACTGTTTGGTTTGTTAAACAAAAGTCAGACATGTAGTTATGACACTGCACACTTATGAATAATTATAACCATGGAATTTCATATGAAAAGAACATTGAATAGAACATACAGGTGCAATAAATATACACATGCACAAGGTATTTATGTTAAATCAATATATGCTATTAAAACTCAGTGTACTGAATGGCAACATGATATATAGATATATCTATAGATATCTATATCTATAGATATATCTATATCTATAGATATCTATATCTATAGATCAGTGGAGGCTGGTGAAAAATATTTTTGGTGGGGCTGATATAGCCTAGTGTATGTCTCCAACTAATCCGGAATAAGAATTCAAATAAACAATTGGACAATACATACAATTTAACAGTAATGATTTAATTTACTATATAATAACAGTAACAGTGATGATTTGGGTCACTGTGACGGGGTTCTTTGGCCTCCAAGAATCCAGTCTCAGTCGGGTTACCGGTGTTGGTGATTTATTGAGCTCAAAAACTCAAAACAGGGTGCAAAAGAAACTAAACATACAAGATACTCTGGGCCTCAGCCTCCCTCCGGTTACCAGCAATGTAACAAAGAAACAGAAAACAAAAATTGCCGCTTTTCTTCCCACAGCCCTCATTAAATAGTTTAAGCCCCTCACATCAGGCTCTCTTATTTCTGATTTCTTCTCATTAATCAGTTTTGTCCATATATTACCTCCACAAACAATTGATGTACAAAAACAAATAATTTTTACAACTTAATTCTTTTACACAGATTCATTGACTTATTCAATTACACCAAACTGGGTTTGAACCCAGCAAAGACGCAGCCAGACTGAAGATGACAAGTCCCCGTAGCATAAACACGTACACCCCCCCCCCCCCCCCACACACACACACACACACACGGCTAACCCCACTGAAATATTAAGTGTGCACCCTCAATATGCCAGCAGGTAACCAGGAACAGCTTGTGTGTTTTAAGTTCATGGAGCTACTGGTCTCAGCGCGAGTGTATTGGTCCTCACAAACACAGTATAACAGGAATGTGTGTGTGGCGCGCAAAGTTAGAGAGGTTGTTTTAAGCGACGAGGTGGATTCGTCACAGTCACAATAACCATGACATGAAATGTTCATATCCTACAACAGGGATGTTCTTCTGGCAAACGGGTAGATAAATAAGGATCTCACCGAATTTGGTGGAAGCTGCATCTCGGTCGTTACATTCGCCATCTTCCCTCTAATTGTCTGCACCTGCGCTTGGGTTCAGAAGAGAAGCCTGTTAAAGCGCAGTATTTTCAGCGCCCCAATACCATAAAGTTCCGAGACGCTGATTGGCCATTAAATTCACCTAGCAATAGTACATGATTGACAGATTCTCTGCAAATGTGGGTCAGTCTGATCAACGCCCCCAGAACAGAGACGGTAGGAGTCTGTCTGTGGAAATCCACAAATTAATGACAGTAGATAGGGAAATGTAGTTTATATAATTTGTTTTGCTTATAGGTACACAGTCTAGAGAGTAAAACTGACATTTGTGAGTTAATTTCTAAAAATATATTTTACGTTTCTCTCTTCTTATCAGGGAGGGCGGTGCCCCAGCGCCCCCTATGGGCCGGCCGCCACTGCTATAGATATCTATATCTATAGATATCTATATCTATAGATATCTATATCTATATAGATATCTATATAGATATAGATACCTATATATATATATATATATATGTGTATATATATATATATATATATATATATATGTATATATATATATATATATATATATATATATATATGTGTGTACATATATATGTGTGTACATATATATATATATAAATATAAATATATATGTATATATATAAATATATATATATAAATATGTATATATATATAAATAAACACTTTTATTTGGGTGTGATTAACTATTTCAAGGTCCTAATTTATTTATATTTACATACATACTTTTATAATATGAATATTATTGTTATAATAAAATATGAAATACTGACAAAAAAGGCTTATTGTGTGGCAACCTCTTGGTGTAGAAGCATAATCCAGGTTTCAAATTAAAGGTAACACTTTGAAGTTTCATGTAGACTATTCGGATTATATATCAGGGGTAATTACACAAAAGTTCCTATTTTTAAACCATTATAAAAGTGACATTTATTTGCTATTAAAATTGGTACAATAGTCCCCTTCACAAGTATATATAGATGTAGCATGTTGAAATCCCCACCTACACTACTGTGATGGTATACACATGGAAGACAGAGATTTAAAAAATGACCCAAAAAACATAGCTTGGCTAATGCCCTTTGAAAAGGAAGGTTTTATTGAGCTTCTGTATAATGTACAAGAGAGCGTTGTCCACAAGGCCATCAAAGCGGACAGGAAGGTAGCTGTGGTCATGTACTAGCGCAGGAATGTCAGCAAACGGGGATGGAAGATCTTCTCCTCCTGCTTACACATTATATAACCTGCAGAAACAAAAACAAAAGTGACCAACAACAATTCACAGTGTATAAGATTGGTATATCAATATGTGATTAAATTTCAATGATACACATGCCCTTTGAAGATGAGCTGGAAAGTTGAAAATGTTTGGCACAACACCATCTTTAAGTTGTCCAAATGAAACTAATACAAACTTATAAAAGCTTTGAGTCAACAACAATCTTGTAATACTATTATATCATAGCAAAAGTCTGGCATCTTCCTTTTAATAAACCCAGCAAATTCCTGTAACATAATGTAAGATGTTTTGACAAACCAAATCGATTGGAAATCATGTTAAATTCTGCCTCTTCCACTGATGTAAAGTTGCTGGTTAACGTTAGCAGCTAGCTAATATGTAACGTTAGCTGCTAACTTACTAACGTTAGGTCTCACTTTGCAGCTTCTTGTTATTAGCCAGCTAACGTTAGGCTAATAATGAAAATACAACAACGCTCAGATTATTGTTATTAGCCAACTAATAACTACAACCACATCCACAAATATTGTAATTTACACCAAAGATTAATTGTCATACAATCGTTATTGGTGTCAGTAAAACCTATATAATTGACTAATAGTCTCAGCCTTGATAACTTGCGCAAGTAGCCGTGATGCACAACTATGCTGCATGATTAAGTCATTTTTCGACAAGAAAATCTGCAATTTCGACATGTTCAAGCATCTAGAATAATAGCCACGTTCATAATGTTTGTAAGAAACCAAACTGTTTGTAAATCCGTCAAGAATTCAGTGAGATAAGAGTATTTGTGTTCGTGCTGATCACTCACCTTACATTAGGTACCACAGAGCACAACAGAAAGCCTGCCTGAGGTAAGATGGCCGCCGGTGATGACGTTTGAGACTCCGCCGTAAGACATCTAGCCTTTATTATGGATATCTATGGTGGTAACCAGCTTATTTTATTTTTGGACCATCTGTGTATGGCAGGCTGTTTTGACATTTATTTGCTTGACTGAATATGTAATCCAGATGTCTCAAATGCATTACTTCCTGGTCAAAATGAACATTTCAGATATCTAAAATGTAATTCTTACTAGTACAAATGACGTCATGTTTCCCATTCATGTGTATTTGACTTTCACTTCTATAATAGCATTCTTCCTATCTAAAAATGAAATCTGATGAGGATTAATTTAATTTCCGATCTTTGTAATAGAGTTACTGCTAGTCATAATTACTATTTCAGATAGCAAAAATGAATATAATATTCTAGATATCCAGAATTAATTTCTAATAAGGGCATTCATTTTGGCTAGGAAGAAATGTATTTGAGACATCTGAAATATATACTCAGTCAAGCTAATAAATGTCAAAACGGCCACGTAAAATTTGTAAAGATTTCTAAGTATTTGAAGGTTTATTCTTACTAGTACAATTATATTTTTGGCATCCTGAAATTTAATTTTTGCTAGCAAAAATGTAATTTAGGATATCTATATGTACATTTCTGGCTATTAGGAATGTAGTTTTGAACAGGAAGAATCTTATTTTAGAGTTCAACAAATGGAAAAATTCATAGTAGGATAGATATCGTACAGCAGGGACATGTTTAATGGAGCCTCAAGTTGGCGCTGCCACATCTCAGCATCTTGGGTTTGAAACCTTTCTAAATATGTTTTTCCAAAGCCCAGACATCCTTAGATTAATCAGGATAACTTAGAGCCAGTAGCTTGACTTGAACGTTGAGTTTAAAACAGAAAAAAGGTTTTTAGGATTGTTAAATCATAACTCTCAAACCTGAGAGGGGGCTTTACCTCAGCAGATTCTCCTTCAAGGAGCTTTTACATAATTTAATTTGGTTTTTCAAAACACAGCTACAGCTTTAAATGAGTTCCTGATGATTCTCTGCAGGCAGCGGACAGCAGTCTGTCACCGGCGTGGAGAGCGCAGACGATGCCAACAGTTACTGGCAGATCCGTGGGAAGCCAGGGCATCCATGTCAGCGCGGCTCGGCCATCAAATGCGGTCAGGCCATCCGGATCACACACATGAAGACCAACCGAAACCTTCACACCCACCACTTCAGCTCTCCCATCTCCAATAACCAGGTCAGAGTGGTTAAGATCATTCTAAGGGCCCTTGACTGAGAGGGTCCTGCTATATTTTTCAAATATGAAAAGAATCAGCAGTAAAATAAATAATCTTCATGTTCTCCCTCATTTTTCAGCAGTAAACAGTGAAAAAAAAGTAGGGATGCATGATATAATCGGCCCCCTATCGGTATTGGCCTTAAAACTGAATATCGGACATTGGCCACCCCACCGATATTTAACCCGATATTTGATCAGCTTCTGAGTTTCTAAAGTCTTCTTCCTCAAAAACTTCTTTTTTACAGACTTAAAAACTTCTAAAGACGAGGGAATAAATATTGATACATTAAAATATCCCAATATCTTCATATGCTGATATATTGACATTTAAAAACACCATATCAATCTCTTTTACTAATGAAATATTGCTATATGTCATCGTTATGCTACGAAATTCCCCGAAAATTCACCAAATTTTGCCATATTTTTATATGTTGATATATTGACGCGGTATCAATCTATTTTACTAACAAGAATTTGCAAAATATCACGAGAGTTTGTAACAGAACGATGAAATTTCACGAGATTTTGAAAGTAAAATAGATCGATACCGCGTTTTTAAAAATCTATTTGATATCAGCATATGAAAACATATTTGAGTATATTATTTTTCAAAGTGTCAGAAATGGATAACAAAACTGCTATTTTCAATGACTACTTATTTTTGTCCAGCGGTTATCGGCTACATGAGTTTTAAAATATCGGCATATCGGATATCGGCCAAAATCCCAATATCGTGGATCCCTAAAAAAAAGCATGAATATATTAACACCCCCCTCGTCCCGTGAAATTGCAATAAATGGTTTTGTCCTCAGCTCCTTTATCGCATCAGGTTCATCAGTTCGCTCGTACGGGGGCTTAAATGCCACACGCACATCATTTGACATAGTGATAATGAAAGAAACTAATTAACAAGAAAATGTGGAAATAATTGCAGTTCGGTAAAATTGTCTGTGGCTGAAAAATGCTGCACCCCAAAGTCTGGGTTTCAAAAATGAACGGAAAGAAAAGGAGAAAGACAAGAGAGGGAGAAGGCGTCTGATCCTGTGACCCAGTTTTTCCCCTCTCGTTTTTTTCAGAAAGTTTTCTTAGCTGAATAGTTCAAATTAACGATAGATTATGTATAGATTATTTTTATTATAGCTGGCTGCTAGATCACATTACTTCTAGTTTAGCCTTTTTCCTTTTATTAGTCTGGTCTGCTAGAAAGTGGAAAAAAGTCCTCCTACAATAACCCATCTCTCTTTCCCCATAACCCATTCTCAGCTATTACTTCAAAGAGCCTGTCTTAACCTTTTCTTATTATAAACGAATGTATATGTCTGGATAGTTCACATTGGTTGAATACTTTTGAAATATATATCACACATAAAAAAATTTGCTTTTTTTTTCTGACATGGAAGTGGAATCCTGACAGGTTAATGACAGCTGCTCCAGTGGCCGACATCACAGATGTGGTGAAGAATCAGAGGTTTCCACAGATAGATTTAAGTCTATATCGGAGAGATGAAGCAGAGTTGGAACATCAGCTGTTATCAGTTAGCATAGCACAAGTTTAGGGTGCAGCTTTGTATGTGTTGGAGCCGCTAGCGGAGCTGCTAGCACAGCTACGGCGGCATTAGGGCCACTCAAATACGGGGGGAAAAAATGGAATTTAAATTTTTGACTTTAAAGTGGCATATTTACAAGAATAAACACGCAATTTTCCAAAATTATAAAGATTAGGGCTGAAACAATAAATTTGATTAATATTGATTCATTGATTATTGAAATAATCAACTAATTTAGTAATCAATTAATCGTTAACTGGAGTGTAGAGGCTCTAAAACATGCCTTTAGCTGACAGAACAACCCGCTTAGAGCAGTCATTATACCAACTCAGCTGCAGGGTAGCGCCACGTTCATACTGGTGAGCTGTGAGATAAACCCCACCACCATTACTAGCTGTTGATGTTTAGGATGAACTTTGACCTCACCAAACCACCTATTTTCTTTATCCAGAATATGGACATTCTGGTCCTCAAAAGAATGTCCTTTGTCCACAAGGTGTAGGTGTACTGCCGAGTCTTGTCCAGAGGCGGCCGCTCTTCTGTGTTGGGCCATGCGAAGAGCGGCCAAGCTTAAATGGTCTTCGCATGGCCCAACACAGAAGAGCGGCCGCCTCTGGACAAGACTCGGCAGTACACCTACACCTTGTGGACAAAGGACATTCTTTTGAGGACCAGAATGTCCATATTCTGGATACAGAAAATAGGTGGTTTGAGAGGGGCGTGAAGGAAGCCATCTATGTTAAGAGAGAAAAAACAACTTTAAACAGAGGTGGTGGACTCAGATTCCAGCTTCCAAAAACATACAATTCAATCATAGACATGATCCCTTCCAGATATCACCAAACCCCCCACCCCATCACAGAGGAACGAGGGACTTACCCGCTCCAGCCGGTGAACAATACCTCCTTAACGACCAACCCTTAACAATCGTAGACAGGTTTCAGGTATTACAGGAGACAATTCAATTCAATTCAATTCAGTTTATTTATATAGCGCCAAATTCACAACACATGTCATCTCAAGGCACTTTACAGTTCAACCAGATCATACAGTCAAATTGATACAAAGTTTTCTATCTAAGGAAAACCAGTTGATTGCATTGACTCATTGACTCAAATACAATCCCCCACACTAAGCATGCTTGTAGCGACAGTGGAGAGGAAAAACTCCCTTTTAACAGGAAGAAACCTCCAGCAGAACCAGGCTCAGTGTGAGCGGCCATCTGCCGAGGCCGACTGGGGTTCAAGGAGACAGAAGCAGAGCTACAAAAAGCAGCTGTAAAAGGCGGCCCCGTCCAGGAAACACACAGCCAGGCAGACGAGCTCCAAGGCAGCTCCCATGCCAGAGGACGAAGAGAGCACATCCACTCAGTCACGGTCAGAGAAACAGGACCACACTGGAAAACAGGCCGATCTCCAACATCTATTAACAAGGGTGTTGATAGAAGCAGCACAGCTGATGTTTTTTTCCAGGATGACGTCACAGCCAAACAGGAACAGACGAGGCAAAGCTACTCTGAGGAAAAGCAGAGAGAGCAGAAGGTTAGAGATTGAACTAACAGATTCTGCAGAATAGGAGAACAGAGAGAGAATGAAGCAGAATGATGAAATGGGGGTCCCTATGTCCTCCAAAAGTCTAAGCCTATAGCAGCATAACTATAGAGATAGCTCAGGATAACCTGAGCCACCCTAACTATAAGCTTTATCAAAAATGAAAGTTTTAAGCCTAGCCTTAAAAGTAGACAGGGTGTCTGCCTCACGGACTAAAACTGGTAGTTGGTTCCACAGGAGAGGAGCCTGATAACTAAAAGATCTGCCTCCCATTCTACATTCTACAATCCCCCCCTTAATGACAATCCCCCCTTTAACGACTGACCCCTAGAATCATAGACAGGTTCAGATATTACAGGCTAACGATGGAACTAACGACCCATTCATCGGTTTCCATTGCATGTTTCCAAGCGATACAAGGCGTTGTCTATATAAGACTCAAACTCACTGCGGATCCAGACATTTGAATTGAGAAAGCTTCCTGGAGAGGTGGCGAAACGTCTTCAAATCTTGAAAACCAAGTCCAGGTATTTCAATCAACCCGACCCCCAAATCAATTTCCTGCTAGTTTCCCGTCCCAGAACAAGTCACCCCCAGGGAAGGTTTTGTCTGCCACACCTGCTGGGTGATGAAAGATTACAAAAGTAAATATTTACAAGGAAAAGGAAACCTGCCATACTCTAGGTCCTTAAAATCATTTGATTTATGTTATTGCAGTTAAAACAAACTATTAAAAGGGTGTTCAAAGTGGGACCCAGGGGCCAAATTACAGCCCTCAGAGAAACTTTCAGTCACCCTTGTTCACAATTCCAAGTTTTTCTAAAATTAGGTTTGTGACTGATGCAGAAATACATTTAGAAAGAAATACTGGGATTTTTTTTCCTTTCAAAAATGACAGTTTTAACCCTCTTTAAATCAAGAATATAATGTCCAATATATTCACCTTTTGTCTGTGATGTTTAGTTTTTTTACATTTGGTGATGGGACGAAAAACATCCAGCTATTAACCCTAAAATCATAGAAAACCTTCATCTTTTAAATTGACTATGATTTATAAATCTTTTTTCTACAGAAATTGGACAATTTTTGCTTGTTTTATTTAATTTCTTTGTGATTCATTCATTTTTGAGCAATAAAAAAAAGTCAAATAGCTAAAGATTTAGCAATTTGTGCAGGAAAATTCCTCTCAGGTTTGTCCACAGTTTTTAGCAAAAATCAACCTATTCAGCCCTCCTCTGGATGAGATTTTGTGGCTTTCCATGCCTCCATCCTCCCAAAGGCCAGTCCCCTCAACCTGCAACCATGACAACCAGTCAGAGTTCATAAAGATAGCGGCTAGGCTTGCAGAATAATGCATGAGAAGAAGGCCAGAGCTCAACCAATGGGCTGTTAACATGGCTGTTACAAAATGTTTATAATGTGAATTTTACATAATATAGGATCTTTAACAATAACTGCCAACTGACTGGCTGATTCACATAACTAAAAGGTGTATTTACTGCCTGAATACAAAGAAGAACTTCCATTAACTGATTTTGTTTTTGCAGGAGGTCAGCGCCTTCGGAGAGAACGGAGAGGGGGACGATCTAGATGTGTGGACCGTCCAATGCGATGGCATCTACTGGGAGCGGGATGAAACTGTACGCTTCAAACATCTGGGCACAGAAGTCTTCCTCAGCGTTACAGGCGAGCAGTACGGCCACCCGATCCGTGGACAGCGGGAGGTGCACGGCATGAGCTCCCCCAACCAGCACAACTGGTGGCGCACCATGGAGGGTGTGTTCATTCAGCCCAGCCAGGAGCCACTGCGGCATGATGAACTCTGACATGAGCTGAATAGTTGATTTTGGACATGCTCTCTTCTCTGGCGCCGCTTTCCAGCTCCCTGAGCCAAACGTTTTTTTTTTAGTGATGTAGATATGACTTTTAATGTGACCTGGGCGGGGGGGGGTATGTCCATTGAATCTGTGCACACTGTAGTCCCGTTAAAGTGTGTTTTTCAGAAAAGACAAACTTTAATAACGCATATGGCGTTTAACCCGTCCTGAATGTCCTCATTTCACTCCTGTTATTTACTGAGTTTGTTTAGACATGGATCCAGTGTCATTCCTTCAATTAGACTGTGTTTTAATACAGGTTTGTTTCAATCAATGATTAGATTTAATGTTGACTTAAGAAGGGAAAACTTGCTGAAAGTGCTGATGGCGTTTACATTCACAGTACAACTTTCTGACAGACTTTGATTTCTTCTTATAAAAAAAAAAATCTGTAATCAGGTGTGCCATCAGGCATCTTAACACCTTTCTGTGGTTATAAAGTTTAGTTCTATAACTCTGGTGTCTTCATCTGGCATAATTTGATTGAGTTTATGGAGTTTAGTACATTGTTTCACTACATTTTACATATAAGTGATTTTACACAGATTTGTTATAATACGTCTGAACCTATATTGAACTACTGCTTTAAAGGGTTTTGGGCTTCCTGACCACCCAGGGACGCCAGAAAATGGATGTTCATACAGAACAGACTGATAAAAGGACCATATTGTCTCACAGAGACACATACAGAGCGAATGTTAACATAGTTTGTACCTTAGAACTAATTTACATAGAGCTGGTTTCATCTGAACTGGAAGAGCATTTCACTAATATTATTCAGTGACTAATATGTTGCAAATAGTTAATGTCATATCTGGGAAAAACAATACCAACTTGAATAAATTATAATGGGAAGATGGGAAACAAGTGCCTGTCATTTAAGCTTGGCTTATTCTGGGAGCTTCCACACCCCTCCGGGGGACTGTGCATAGACAAAAGTTCTGCTCGGAGTACCAGGCGCAATTTGTAACTACGCGGTCGGATCATCTTGCACAACACAGCGAGCAGGCAGCGGATCCTTCTGCCGAGGGTTCGCAAATGTAAACATATACAGAAATACCGTAAATTAGCTCATAGATATCACCACGATCAGCAGATTGTGGAAAAAACTCCAGGAAAGTAATCCCCGTGGCTCTCGGAGGGCATGAAGGGGCTTTGATAAAGTTGTAAATGGCTTTGTTTTCTAATTCCTCATGTAGTGGGATGGGCCCGGCTAAAACGGAGGAAAGATGCTGTGATGGACGGCTAATTTTTCGCACTAAATGTCTGTGTGTCAAGCATAATGAGCCGTTTACTGGGTTGGTGCTAACAGATGGTAATGGAGCATTTTTTTTTTTATTTTATATGTTCATAGACTATAAGGTACATGTTAGCAAACTTTTGGTTAGCCAAAGTAATCTTTCTACAGTGATTGTAATAATCTATCTTGACAAAATGATAATGGTGCTCATTTTAAACAATATTTAAAAAAAAAAAACACTTAATGAACTAATCATCATTTGGAAGACCCATTTGACCCCAAAGGCTTCACTTTCTGGCTGATGTCTTATTATTTTGAATTACTTCACACAACATTCTGTACTCATCCACTGATTTTATGTTTTTCAATAATCCCTCCTGCAGCACCAAACAAATTTATTTCACTGTGGATTATGATCCATCAAGCATCTTCACAATCACTATGTTTTGTTCTGGAGTTGATGCACAATTTATACAGAAACATGCCTCCTTCCTGACCAGAATATGTAGACATACCCACGCTGATCATACTTAGTTGAACAAATAAATGTGGCATTTAATTATTCTCATTGATCTGGGCTTTAGGGGATAGAATTTGGAAAAGTATTTTATAACTCCTCTTAAACAGGAAAGATGAAGTCAGAAAACTTTTTTTACAGGATGTAACCGTTTGATTTGAACTGTAAATAGTTGGTTAATGAGTGCCAATAAATTGATAATGTGAGTGAGTGTGCATCGAGGTTTGTTTGTCTATGTTTGCCCTGTGATGAGCTGCTGGGTATTCTCTGCCACTCCTCAGTGTCCAGGGTCCATTTCCTCTGTGGTTTTACATGGATTAGAAAAACTACAGTGAAGCTGGTGATGCAGATTTTGCTCTAAGTTACAGAGGACAAAATAAAACTCATTCACACAGTGAACTCATTGGTAAACATCATTACTGAAATTACTATATTATTTTTAGAGTGCTCTGTAGTTAGTCAGCTTCTACGAACACCTGTGATGCAGTGGGTGAATATTATGTGAGAGGAAACCACCAGATGTGATATTTCTTCATTACTTTCTCAGTCATTTGTTGGTGGGATTATGATAAAGTGAGGGTGATAACAGCAGCTGAGCCTCTAAGTGGTTAGCCATATAAAACATATTAGTAATGCTGTTGTTATGAAGAGGTCACCAACCTTCAGCAGAGGCTACACCTTCAGACACCCGAACCTTATGTGGCCTTTAGATTAGCTCAGTAATGATGTGTTGAGAGGTTCATTGTACGGGTTTGGGATGAGTGGACCTCAGCCAATAAGAACACATTTAGAATAATTTAAAGTTTAAAAAACATTAATTAGTCCAACATCAGTGTCTGACCTGGAAGAAGACTTCATAAGGGTTGGCTGTAGAGGATCATCAGCCAGGGGTGGATTTAGGAAATGTGGGGCCCTTGGCAAAGACAGGCAAGGGGTCCTCTGAAATGAGAAGACAACATATAAAAAAGACCCATTATACAGATACATACATTTGAACAGAATAGACATCCATTATTTGTTCTACATTTTGTCCCATATCTTTTTGTTTTCCTCTCTGTTTTTTGTACTCAGCTGACTTTTCATGCCATCTCAAAAGGAATGAAACTTAACTCACTTAGCTGATTGCTCCTTCCCGTGTTTCCAAAAAGGCGACGGCAAAAGTAAATAACCCAGTCCTTCTTTTCACTGTAGACAAGCCATGATCTGCTTATCTGTTCTCTATTTTTCATTTGGATGAAATAATAGCTGCATGAATCATGACAGCAGACAAGATAGAGGAGAGCAGGAGGCGGGGTTACCAATCTACTCGCTCTGGAGAGCAGAGCTCGCTGCTTTTAGATGTTGTTGCCAAAATCTCCAGTGGCAGAAAAAAGTCACCAAATTTGGCGCTAGACAATTTTTTTGATATCAAAGTGCTAGAGGGGTCTGAAAAGTCGCTAAATATAGCGACAAAAGCGGTAAGTTGGCAACACTGCTGTCTGTTTGGAGCTTTCTGAACATGTGCAGCAAATGGACTGATCCAATATGGTGGACACTGAAGGGGGGCTGAGACACATTAATTATAAGCGTTCTGATGGCATTTTAGCCCCAAAGGATTTAAAAAAAAACATAATTAATGTGCACAAATAAGGAATATTTGTATTAACCATGTAAACAGAGTTTGGGGCCCCCAGGAACTTGGGGTCCTAGGAAACTGCCTAGTATTGCCTAATGGTAAATCCCCCCCATCATCAGCTAACTGTCATGTTAAGTCTATACAATTGTGAAGGGGATCTCACTAAAGTTAAGGGGTTTAAATACTTTTAAACAAAAACTGAAGCCAGTGTGGTTTTGGAACCAGGATCAGGAGTCCGTTCAAGTTCAGACTCATTAAAAACTGCAAACCAGGATTTTCCTACCAAGAAGCTTTATTTTATAAATAACTCTGTTATTTTATAAAGCAGAGCTCATCATTAGCAGATTAGGTTGTTTTTAATCCAGGTTTTAAACCCCAAAAAGGTTCCAGAGCCTCTTAGAACTGTTCCAAACAGAACATCGCTGTTTAAAACTTTCATAAAGCAGTAAAGTTCGGGCTGTCCCCCTCCGTGTCACAGCGGTGGCGAGACCGCTCGTCTCTCATATGGCCCTACCCCATTGCTCCGGTTTCCTAGGAAACGGGGCGTGGCTAAGGCGCTCCTGGAACAGGTGACCGCCGTGATTGGCTGAAGCGTCGGATGATGTAGCAGCGTCTCATCGTTCCATCGGCGCTGACCCCGGAGCTCCGCCGCTTCTGAACCACTGCAACCCGCTGTGGGAGCGCAGTCCACCGCGGCGGGACCCAAGGTAAGAACAGGGTCCGATCCGACCGTCCGGAACCGGAGTCCGGTTCAGAGTTCGGTTCTGACTGCAGAGAGAACCGGAGCTGAGAGGAGCTGCATTCAAGGCGTTAATTGCTCTTAATGAGATCAGCTGAAGAAGGCTGCTGTCACTCATCTCCTCATCCTCACTTTGACTTACATTAGTTGGGAAATTAAATTTAGGGAAATTTAGAGAGCAAAAAGAAAAGAAAAAGCGTTTTAAATAAATCATCATCAACCTGAAATACAATCTGTATTCTAAAGTTTTAAATTAAATCGGATTCTTTAAAAACGCGCAAATTGACGTTTAACGTTTTATTTTTTTTCTATTGAGTTTTAATTAATTTATTTATGTAATTTCATGTTTATCTTTGTCAGTTTGTTTCTTTCTTTTTCTATCTATTCCTGGTGTTAGTCAGCCTGTTTCAGCTCTGATCGCTTCATAAATAAAACTAATGATCAAGAGAGATTTTTCCATGGATATTATTACCACTAGGACTGCAAATAACAATTAATCTGTCGATTATTGTTTTTGATTGATCATTTTTGTAGTCTGATAGCCCCAAAGAAGACTTTTTATAAGTTGAAACCATGTGAAACTAAAAATTTTCTATTTGAGGAGTCTTGGATAGAGCAGATTGACAGACGAAATACTTTTTTATCTTAAAGGCCGCTTCTTTATATATATATATATATATATATATATATATATATATATATATATATATATATATATATATATATATATATATATATATATATATATATATATATATATATATTTTTTTTTTTTTTTTTTTTTTTACAATTTTGGTATAATAACTGCTCTATGCGGCATGTTTTAGTCTCCAAACTAATAATTAATCGGTTACTAAATAAGCTGACGATTATCTCAAAATCAATTAATTAAAGTTAATCTGTTTTTTTTTTTCCAGCCCTAATTATATTTTTTTTCTTGTCTTGATGCTCTTCCATCCTTTTTCTCTGCTCTCATCTTAACACATTTTTCTCTTTCCCAGCTTACTGACACCATGCTGAGTCCTTTATTTCGCGCCCACGGCCTCTTGGTGGCCTCCCACCCATGGGAGGTGATTGTAGGAACGATCACCCTCACCATCTGCATGCTCTCGATGAACATGTTCACTGGAAATGATCAAATCTGCGGCTGGAACCTAGACTGCCCCAAAACAGAAGAGGTGAGAGACAAAAATTATTAAAACAAATGTGATGAATATATCCCCATCACAGCAATGCTTTTAAAAAATTTTTTTATACAATGGGTCTTAAATTCACTCTTTGCCAACAAAAACCTCTGCCTGATGGTGTCTCACTCTGAAAAGAATATTATGCTCCAACTTAAA